AGATGGGAAAGTGCAAGGGAAATTATTTCTTGGGGGGGGGCATTTCTTTTTACTGTCCTATGATTTTGTAGAAGTTTGCAACCTGCAATTATATGTCATGTTAAAGTGATCTGACATGTGAGCAACCATAAATAACAACATTCATTCTATTTTTATGATGATAAGAGAAACTGTTAAAATAGGAGTCTCAAAGTCCAAGGTACAGATATTTTAATCACTGATGTCATATTTTACCGTTACTTCAGTATTGAAAAGGGGCACTGATTCACTAAACGTGACAACCCTCTGCCTGGGAAATGGACCAGGGAAAGGCAGAGGGGAGGGTGGGAGCTGTTTATCCTGGAGAGACACACCACACAAATCATGTGTGTACCCAATTTTGCCTGATTATTAGTATGCATTTGTGTGGGCAGTTGAGGAATCTGCTTGTTAAATACCTCTTGGAAATCCATTAGCTCAGCCCCTATCTTTTGGAGTTAAACAAGCAGAGATTTAGCAAACAGAAGCCCCCCAAGCAATTATTGGGGCGATATTGGCCATCAGGCTGCAGCACCTTTTGCTGAACAGATGAGAGTCCCCTTCATAAACACCTTCCCATGCTGTTGAGGCTGAAAGCAGCCAAATTTTGCAGCAAATTACAGCTGCAGAAAGCTTTGGCCAGGAACTATTTAACAATGAATAATATTGATGTGCATCATGATAGCTTTGAGGATAGCAGGCCATGATATCATCATCTGCAAACACATGGCCAAAGAAGGCCAAAGACAGTGAATGGTTATGTTTGAACATTGATAATTTCTTGACCCAGGTGGTGGAGACGCCAACGAGGAGAGGTGCAATGCTAGACCTTGTACTAACGAACAAAGAAGGTCTAGTTGGCGATGTGAAGGTTGGAGGCAGCCTTGGCTGCAGTGACCATGAGATGGTGGAGTTCAGGATCCTATGAGGAGGGAGCAGGGCAATGAGTAGGATTGCAACGCTGGACTTCAGGAGAGCAGACTTGGGCCTCTTCAGGGACCTACTTAGGGGAATCTCCTGGGGTAGGGCCCTAGAAGGAAGAGGGGTCCAAGAAAGCTGGTTAATATTCAAGCGTCACTTCCTCCAGGCTCAGGATCAGTGCATCCCTCTGAGGAAGAAGTCCAGCAAAGTGGGCAGGAGACCTGCATGGATGAGCAAGGAACTCCTGGCCAAACTCCAGCAGAAGAAGGAAGTGTACAGAAGGTGGAAAAGGGGACAGGCCACTTGGGAGGAATACAGGGACGTTGTCAGAGCGTGCAGGGATGCGACAAGGAAGGCTAAGGCCCAGTTGGAAGGCTAAGGCCCATTTGGAATTAAATCTGGCAAGGGATGTCAAGGACAACAAGAAGGGCTTCTTCAAATACATCAGTAGCACAAGGAAGACTAGGGAAAACGTGGGCCCGCTGCTGAATGGGGCGGGTGCCCTGGTGACGAAGGATACAGAGAA